TTTCTCTGTATATACTGTATGCTGTTATACAATAGTAAAGCAAAGCAAGCTTATTTGTGGAGTAGTGACCATTCATCTGTCTGTGTCTCCCTGCAACAAGCTCAATTATTAAGCAGATTACGGCTCAGCGCTCTGAGCAATACATTAGTGTTTCCAGTCCAATGCCCATTCCTTATGGCTGACATTGGGAAGGAGGGGAACTCTCTCATCCCTTTTAGTGTTTAAATACTGATTTTATTTTTTGACCTTAATTTACCCAACAGCTGTGACTGAGCTGCAGAGAGCTGTGGGAATATAGTCTGTCGGACTGGTTGGTGGAGTTTGAGAATAAGATTCTCTCGTTGCTGACTGCTGAGTCCAACCCTTGTTCCACAGGTTCTCAATTAGTAAAAAAGGAAAGTAAGACTCCGGCACTCGGCCTAGTGCTGGTTTATTCAGCCATCCAACAGAGTTTGCAAAGTTTCGACACTAAGCATGTTTTTATCAATCCGTCATATTGCCTACGCCAGGGCCGGACTGGCCCACCGGGAAATTTCCCGGTGGGCCGTCGGCACCTGGGGGAGGTCTGCTGGTGGCCGCTGGGGGAGCTGCACTGTCTCTGCTCCCCAGCGTGCAGCTTAATGAGCCCGGGGCCGGAATATGACGGTCTCATTCAGCAGCACGCGAGGGCGGGAGAGCAGAGCCAGCACAGCTCCCCCAGCAGCCGCCAGCACAAACAGCCGTCTGCACTGCACGACCCCCTGGCAGGTAGTAGCAATGTGTGTCAGTTTGAGTTTGTCTGTTATGGTGTGTGTGTCTGTCTGTGTCATAGTGTCTGTCTGTATGGTGTGTGTCTCTGTCTGTGTCATGGTGTCTGTATGGTGTGTCTGTCTGTCATGGTGTGTGGGGGTGTGTGTGTGTCTATGTCATCGTGTCTGTCTGTATGGTGTGTGTGTGTCTGTGTCATAGTGTGTGTGTCATGGTATATGTGTGTGTGTGTGTGTGTGTGTCTGTCTGTGTCATGGCCTGTCATGGGGTTTGTGTGTCTGTCATGGTATATGTGTGTTTCTGTGTCTGTCATGGTGTATATGTGTGTTTAAAAGTAGCATTTTTGCTCACCTTTTTTTCCCCCCAAGCAGCGTGCTGGTTTCCCCTCGACTGGCCCTGCCTCTATGGCTGAGATCATCAAGCTTGATGATCTCAGCCAATCCAATGCTTTGCCATAGGATTGGCTGCAAAACGCTACACCAATAAGCATCTCCTCATAGAGATGCATTGAATCAATGTATCTCTATGGGAAACGTTCAGCACCTACAGAGTGTGGAGGCCCTGAATGTAGGTGCACTGACACAGGAAGCACCTCTAGTGACCTTCTGTTCTCGGGAGTGCCTGGCCGAAATGAATTCCAGGCACTCGACGACCAAGTCTTGTTGCCATCCATTGCCCCAACCACGTGCGTTAACATGCATGAAATGGTGGCCACCCAGTGGAGCATTCTATTAATTATTTCCTTTGTGGTTTTCATACAAGATACTCAACGTTCCACGTTCTAATGCGTCTCTGGGGTGTTCTCGGGTTGGAAACCAAACAAAATAAACTATGCAAAATTAAATACGAATCCGTTATACGAAAGGAGCTGAAAGTGATGGGGTATTCCTTAACAGTGCTCCCCCCTTGCTCACAGCTATGGCAGACTCTGTTGGACCCTTTTCGGGTCAACTTGGGACTGTCTGGAGAACACAATGAACTGGTCAAGGTTCAAGCTCGGTCTGGCGGGATAATGTCAGAAATCTTACCTGAGGTGGGAGTCTGTAGCGCAAATGTTTGCTCACCCTTGCAGATAGACACAGTCCAGGGTGACCAGATAAGAAGCCACCTGGACTGTCAATCTGTGCACGGAGGCTGTGCAGGAAAGGTGTTCCAAAGCAGTACCGACAAGGTCACAAACAGCACGGTAGTCGAGGGATAGCCGAAGTCAAAGGATGCCAGAGATCAGAATAAACAAAGGGTAGCCGGAGTCAGAAGCTGGGGTCAATATGGAATACAAGTTCAGGAGACTAGAAAACAGGAACTGAACACATACACCAGGATCAAAGACTTGATAATATTCACAGGGAGGGGTAGTTTATATACCCAGCAGATGAATGATCAGTCTCCAGTGAAGCACAGCAATGACCATAGAATAAGTCCAGCCCCCAGTGCTGCAGACATTGCCAGGAATAATAGGGCTAGAACAGCTTGCAAGAATCGGAACTGCTGTGGCTCAAAGGCAGATAGCAGGCCCAGGACAGCAAAGGTTCAAATCCCCTGTTTGGCACTTGTGGGGCGACCACGTCTGGACGGTACGGGGTTTACCCTGACAGTCCATTCGCATTCCCGTTCTGTTTGCCTAATGGTGAAGTCGTAGGGTTGTTTTGCTAGACTCCACCTCAGAAGATGGGCATTATCTCCAGAGATCTGATTGAGCCAGACTAGGGGATTGTGGTCAGTGACCAGGGTGAATGCGTGGCCATAGAGATAGGGAGTTAATTTCTTCAGTGCCCACACTAGGACTAAGCACTCTTTTTCAATGGCCACGTAACTGACTAAATAGCACTCCGTCCTCACTGACCTGGCTCAGAACTGCCCCTAGTCCAAACATTGAAGTGTCTGTGTGGACAATAAAGTGTTTGTTAGGATCTTGGGCAGCCAGAACAGGTGCTTGTTTCAGAGATTAAAAAGCTACCTCACATTCTGGGGACCACAGGACCTGTCTCGGTAAGTTCTTTTTAGTCAGGGAAATCAGGGGTTTGGCCCCGGCGCTATATTCGGGTACAAAGCATCTATAGTAGCCGGCTGTCTCTAAGAAGGCAATGACTTGCGTCTTGGTACGGGGAGTGGGCCAGCTAGCAACGGCCTCGATCTTAGCAGGCTCTGGCCATTGCTTACCACATCCTACGCGATGGTCCAGATACTGCACCTCCGCCATGCCACTGTGACACTTGCCTGGCTTCAAAGTTAAGCCTGCTCCCCTAATTCTGTCTAACACTGTCCCTTTGTGGTCTAGGTGAACTTCCCAGGTGTCGCTATAGATCGCAATGTCATCCAGGTATGCACAGGCATAATCCTGGAGATCATCTAGAAGGTGATCCACCATCCGTTGAATGTTGGCTGGAGCGTTCTTCATCACGAACGGCATAACCCTGAACTGGTATAGGCTAAACGGGGTGACGAAGGACGATTTGGGTATTGCCTCCTCAGCTAGGGGAATCTGCCAATAGCCTTTACATAGGTCTACAGTGGTCAGATACCGTCCCCAATTTGTCTACTCATCGGGTAGGCATCAGTGACCATTTTTTCTTCGAGTCTCCTGTAATCCACACAAAAACGGATTGTACCATCCAGTTTTGGCACTAGAACTACAGGAGAAGCCCAAGGAATTTCAGAATGCTTAATGACCCCTAATCTAAGCACCTCGGCTATCTCTTTCTGCATTCCTTCCCGGACTGCCTCGGGAATGCGGTAGGGGGTGTAACGGATCGCCTGGCACCCCGACTGGGTACCTCCGTTAAAGGATGCTCCTAGCGCTTCCTGAGGACTCCAAGCACTGCAGCAGACACCACAACCACCGAACCGGAGAAACAAATTCTCCCAAGCATATGAATGCTGTAGACAGTTGAATAGGAACCATACGAATAGGTTTACTCTCCTAGCAGTCAAACTGGAACAGCATACAATAAATCCTTCCCCCAATAATGAGACGACACTTCACTTTGAGGGTTAAAACAGGAACTCCCTGTACTGTCACATACAGTCTCTTTTATTCCCAATCCACAAACATAGTACAGCCTACAGGGCGCCACAAAACAACCAATCAATCCGCACAATACACCCAGACACTCCCACACAAAATCCTCCCCTCTGCAGGTGATATGATTACTGAACACAATGGGTAATCTCATTATCACCGGCAGAGGAATACAGTTTTTACACAATATTTATAACTTCTAAAATATACATGTCACAAACATAAAACATACATTTTCACAATCAATCCATTCAGGGGAACAACATATTAAAAAATGGCACGAATCAGACCAGGGGTTCAAAAGTTAAGGGAAAGTCCTTTGTGACTAAATGAAGCATGGCTTTCTGGCCCAAACCAGTTTCAGAGTCTTCTATCCTGGAGATAAGTAATTCAATTATCTCCCAGGATAGACACAAGACTCCATTAAGCACATGGTTGCAAAAAGACACAAAACACTTTAAAATACATAAAGTCACATTTACACATAACACACAGACATTTCACATATCCCCAGATAGCTGGGATCTGAGCGCACAAAACTACCAAATAGCGCTCAGATCCTATTCACACAGTTCAATTGCCATGGAGCCGAAGTCTTTAACTACACGAATGGGCTCCATGGCATAGCTATCTGGGTTAATACCTTCACATAAAGTCTGGTCCATAGTCCAAAGGCAAGAGGCGGGCAAGCAGCCCCCTCCAAGGACACGTGGCGAGGCCGGTTTCGCCACAGGGGGCTTTCTCAAGGTTGCCTGGCCTGGGATGTCCACCTTATGGGTCGCTAGGGGAGTATACCTGGGCTCCTGGGAGAAGGTGGCTCCAGCAGTTGGATCGCTTGGGCTCACTCCTGTGGTCCCAGTCGCTCCCCGATCTGGACCAACTCTATGGCCCCCCTCTCTAGGGTCACCTCCTAACAGCTCTGGTAAGGGTAGGTGTAGTGGAGTAGTAGTATTATCCACGGTATCTCCGCTGGTAGACAGAATCAAGCAGGTACAAAGCAGGTCAAATCCAGGTAGCGTAGTTGCAATCCCTTTCTCCCAAGAACTAGACGACACATAGCTTGGAGGTCAACTGAGGTTTTTAATTACAGGCACAGTATTTATGTGGTTACAAATGTAAGGGGTTTCCCAAGTCACAATACAGGGTTTGTCCAGTAGGGGACTGGGTTTTACACACAGAATACCCATCATACATTGCTGTACCAAGGGGATAATTATCCCAGAATGCATTGCTAATGGGATTATCCCTTGGTACAGAGAAATACAGTTTTTATATTAAAATCTATAACCGACATAATATTTATGCTAGATAGCTATTTAACCATTTATTACATAGCTGGGACCTGGTCACACAGTTAAGTGAACTTGCGCTCAGATCCCAGCACAAATAACCGAACGCCGTTCAGTTTCCCTTATCAGGACCACTTTGTTTAACCGATTGCCTGAATGGAGGGAATGAAAGTCCCGAAAACGGTAAACTCCCGAACGGCTCGGAAGTCCAGCGGGCTTATGTTGCCGAGTAGCCGATTTTAGTTCCAGGCACTCGACGACAAAACCCCGCTGGTTTTCCGCGAACAAAGATGGCCGTCGCCTCGTGTTCGGTACACGAATGGCGGCCACCCGCGACAGACCGCAATTAACACGAATACAATGTTGCAAAGTACCTAATTGTAGACACATGACCGGCTATGGGTGGTCTCCCATTCGGAACTTTGCTTATTCCATGAACAGTGTGGTGATTCACTGTTCGTGGAGAACCAGATTTAACATTAGCGGTATTCGTGTGCTGTAACACACGAATGCCGCATACATTGCATAATACACATAATATTAACAGACTATACAGGTGGCTTAAATATACGGTTTAAGTCTATAAGTAGCTAGATTTGACACAATGCTCCCCCAGAACCAAGCCGGCTTACACAGTCTGATCCCAACGGATCGGCTTGAGGATGTCCGGAGGAGTACTCACAGATCACTTTTCGAGTTCAGATTGTCTGGATAACCCGTCTGCGTTGCCGTTTAGCTTTCCCGGGTGGTAGTGAATCGTAAAGTCAAAAGGCTGCAGCGCCAAACTCCAGCGCAGCAGCCTGGCATTGTCTCCTGATACCTGGTTGTCACATATTCATCCGCTTATAAAAATGTGGTTAATGGCATTTACTGTCAACACATGAAAAGTTGTGCCGAGCAGCAACCAAATCCACAGAAGGGTTAATACTGAGCAGCAATTATGCAAATGAGAACCTGGTAACTGCCTTTGGGGTCAAAGGCCGGTTACAGCCTATCAGATCTAGAGGAGGGGTATTTAGGCCCAGTTCTCATCCTGCTCAGTGCCCTGTTGTGGTTTCCCTTGTGGTTGTCCGAGAGCGCGTTATTTATTTTTGTTATTCTGGTTATTTGACTTTGGCATTGTTTTTGATTTCCCTGTTTTCTGGCATCCCTGACTCCTTGTTTTTCCTTATCATTGTGTCTCTTTCTGTGTCCCTTGACCTTGGCTAATCCTGACTATTCTTTGGTACGTTAGTCCGGCCATTCTAAGGTCCGGGATACGTTACCTATCAGTCCTCTGTGTTACACAATTCTATGTGCTGGATCATTCTGTAATCCTGACACCGGTTTAGCCAGACCAACGGGTTGTGATCTGTGAGTAGTAAGAATGGTTGTCTGTATAAATATGGTTGCAGTTTCTTGAGGGCCCACACCACGGCAAGGCATTCCTTTTCGATGGCAGTGTAGCTTACTTCTCGAGGTAAAAGTTTTATGCTTAAGTAAGCTACGGGATGTTCGCCACCATCTGCTCCGACTTGGCTCAGTACTGCTCCCAATCCAAACATAGAAGCGTCTGTGTGGACGAAAAAGCGTTTAGTTGGATCAGGAGCAGCAAGTACAGGTGCGTTAACAAGAGCGGTTTTTAGTTGTTGGAATGCCCGGTCACACTCGGGGGCCCATACTACTAACTTAGGGAGGTTTTTGCGGGTTAAATCTGTGAGGGGTTTCGCCAGGGTACTGTAATCGGGCACAAATTTCCTATAATACCCTGCGGTACCTAAAAATGCTAGAACCTGGGTTTTGGTACAGGGGGTTGGCCATTTAGCTACGGCCTCTATTTTGGCCGGTTCTGGCTTCTGCTGGCCACTTCCTACCCGGTGTCCTAGATATTGGACTTCGGCCATCCCTATACGGCACTTACTAGGTTTAAGGGTTAGCCCTGCCTCCTTAATACGATCTAATACGGCTCCTACATCACTCAGGTGATCGGTCCAGGAATAGCTAAAGATCACTATGTCATCCAGATAGGCGCACGCGTATTCCTGAAACCCGTCTAGTAGCCGGTCCACCATCCTCTGGAAAGTGGCTGGAGCGTTTTTCATTCCGAATGGCATGACCCGAAACTGGTACAGGCCAAACAGAGTGACAAACGCCGACTTAAGGATGGCGTCCTCAGCCAAAGGGATTTGCCAATACCCTTTGCAAAGGTCAATCGTGGTTAGGTATTGGCCCCTGGCCATCTTGTCTAAGAGCTCATCTATTCGTGGCATCGGGGAGGCGTCCGATGCCGTTTTATCATTGAGCCTCCTATAATCCATGCAGAAGCGGGTAGTTCCATCCCGCTTTGGTACTAGTACCACTGGGGAAGCCCATGGGCTATCCGAATGTTCGATGACCCCTAGTTGCCACATTTCCTCAATCTCTTTCTGCATATTCTATTTTACCGACTCCGGAATGCGGTAAGGAGGTTGGCGGAGGGGTGTTTGTCCTGGGGTTACTAACCGGTGGGTGGCTAATGCAGTATACCCGGAAAGATTGTAAAAGGTGGCCCCATTTTCCCTAATTAAACTTTGGGCCTGGGTCCCCTCCTGAGGATTAAAGCGCTCCCCTAGTTGTACTGCTTCTAGGTCCCTGGCACCCCTATCATACCATCTGCGTCATACCATCTGTCTGAGTTAAAGACAGCAAGCGCTCCCGAAACTCCAGTACATATGGTACAATAGGGGTACCATTAGAGGTAACTCCCCCATCCCAGTGTTCTCTAATCAGATCCAGTGGCCCCCTCACTCTCCTTCCAAACAATAATTCAAAGGGTGAGAACCCCGTGGATTCTTGGGGCACTTCCCTATATGCGAACAGCAAGTGGGGTAGAAACCGCTCCCAGTCCTTCTGAGTGTCTATGAACGTCCGGATCATCTGTTTAAGGGTTCCGTTGAATCGTTCACAGAGCCCATTAGACTGAGGGTGGTAGGGTGAATTAAGGATAGACTTTAACCCACATACTTTCCAGAGCTGGTGGGTGTCTTCTGCCGTGAATTGGGTACCCCTATCCGAAATAATCTCCCGGGGAAATCCCATGCAAGAGAATATTCGCATAAGGGCATCCGCTACAGTCTCGGCATGAACATTTGTTAGGGCCACTGCTTCGGGGTATCTGGTGGTGTAGTCCACTACGGTCAAGATGTACTTCTTGCCAGAGGGACTAGGTTTTTTCAGTGGTCCGTGTGGCAAACCTAGCCACTTCAGATTATATGGCTGTGACTTTAAAGGTTGTCCGGAACACTGCTGCACTACAATGTTTAAATGTATTCTGCTTACTGTGGGTTAATGTATGTTTGTATTGAATTCATATGCTAGCATTCATGTGTTTCGTTTCACGAACAGCCACTTTACAGGCTGTTCGTGAACCGAATGAGCTACCCCCTAATAGCCCACACAGAGAGCGACGTGTGGCGCTCGTTAACCGATTGCAACAATGTTGCAATCGGTAATTAGAGGCTTTCCTAGGGGGCCACCGTTCGGCTACCGACCACGTGGCGGTCAGCCATCTTGGATCCTTTGTCTCCCCAGCGGTGTTTGGTCGTCGAGCGCGTGGAACTGAAAACGGCTACTCGGCGCGAACACCGCTGGACTTCCAGGCCGTTCGGGAGCTCCGGTCTTCCGCTATTAGGGTTCCCCCATCGGTGTTCGGTACTTTGGGGCAAACTCACTGGCAAAGTGTGTTTCGTGCGGCGTTCGGTTGTTTTAGCTGGAATCTGAGCGGTATTCTCACGAACTGTGCACTCAGACCCCAGCTATCTATCGAACGTCCATTCATTTAAATCTACCAAGTATTGTTAAAGTTATAGATTTAAATGTAAAATGCCGGTTCTGCTGAATGGAGGGATAATCCACTTAACGGTACATTCCAGTGGGAGTATCCCTCTCGTCCAGCAGTGCCTGATGGGAGAAAAGGTCGGAATGTTAAGTCCCCCATGTAGTCCCCCCTACTGTAATACCCCAGTGATGTGACTCAGGAAACCCCTTGCATGGGGACTTGCATAAATACTGGATACTGTGAATAAAAACCTCAGTTGACTCCCAGAACTGGGTTTCGTCCGGTTGCTGTGGGATTTGGGATATTGCCTTACTTTCCAGCGCTTGACTTTGGATTACTTTCTTAACCAGCGGAGAAATTGGGATTTCATATTGCAGCTCCGCTACAGTCCGATTATGTCTACCGCTATTCGACTGAACGGCTCTTCAATTATGGGTAGGGAGTGAAGTTTGGCTTTATAGCGGTCTTCTCTTTTTCTTACTCTCTGGCAGGTATCGCAGGTATTACAATATTGTCTAATATCCTCGGAAATACCTGGCCAGAAAAAGTTTTGAGTCAGCCGATGTTTTGTTCAGCTGATTCCTAAATGACCCGACAAAGGGATGTCATGCGCTATACGTATTAACTCTTGCCTGTACTTTCGAGGCACAATTAACTGTTTTATGGGAATGGGGATAGATCCGGCTACTACCTTCTCTGCATACCGGTATAATAACCCTTTATCCCAAGCATATCTTTCCCCTTCTAGGCCTGCCTGGTTCTTGTCTATTCGGTCTTTGTAAACCTGCAGGGAAGGGTCTAGAACGACTTTGCTACCGAATTCAAGAGGGGCATCCCAAGGGAGGGCAGTGTGACTGTGGGTTGCATCGCTTACCTGAGCCTCAGAATCATTGGGTTGTGCCGTGGTGCGAGCCTGTTGCCTGGTGACGACTGGGTATGCCTCCTGTACGGTGGTTCGTGGAACAAAAGCGGAGGTGAGCTCCCCCAAGTCATTTCCCAAAATAACATCTGCGGGCAAGTCTTGCATCATCCCCACCTCCATATTCCCGCCCCAGCTCCCCAATTCAAATGCAGTTTGGCAGTGGGAACCTTGTAGATTGCTCCCCCTGCCACCTGTATGGCTATGCAATCTCCCGTAAGTTGGTCTTTTGGGACAAGGTGGTTTCTGACCAATGTGATGGTGGCCCCGGAATCTCTCAGCCCTTCCATACGTTTCCCCTCCACATGGACAACTTGTCGATGGCTTTGGCGGTTGTCGGATGCTGCTTTACACGGGGTTAACTTCGTGGAGCGTGCCTAGAGGTTCTTCTACCTGGGTGGTGGTGTGAGGCTGGAGGAACGCTCCTGTCTGGTAGCAGTGCACTGCTGCTCTAGGGCCAGGCGGTTGGCCTTAGTTGGGCCCTGGTGGTTGTGCCCTGTTTCGGGGACAGTTGCGTTGTACATGTCCTAGTTGGTTGCAGGTATGGCATCGGATGTGTGCCCGGTTGGAGTACCTAGGTTGGTACTGATTGTAGGCTCCTCCGGATCGAGGGGGGTTGGCCACGGTAGACCGGTAGGTGCTTTGCTACCTTAGGTGGTGTGCGTTGCTCTTGCCTCGTGTCTTGATGTTCGTCCGCTAATTTAGCCACTTCTTGTAAGTTGCGTGGTTTACGATCTCTTACCCAGTTTTGCATATCAGTAGTTAGTCTCCGGTAGAACTGTTCCAACAAAAGTAATTGAATGAGATCTTCCCGGGTAGTTGCTTGCGCCGCATTAATCCATCCTGTGGCTGCTTGGTGTAAGCGGTGCACAAACTCTGCATGGGAGTCCTTTTCTTGCTTTTTCAGGTCCCGGAATTGGAGTCGGTATGCCTCGGGGGTAATGGCATACCGCACTAGGATGGCCTGCTTTACCTTCTGGTAGTCTCTGCTGTCCTCATCAGGCACTGCCCGGTAGGCTTCTGCTGCGCGGCCTGATAAACTACCGGCCAGCAATGGTACCTGGTCTTGGGGCCCGATATCATGCAGCTGGCACAGTCTTTCAAAGTCCTGCAAATATCCATCAATATCGCCCTCTGTGTCTGTAAAGTTTTTAAAGGCTTGGTAGGCAATTTTTGGTTTTCCCTGTATAATGCTGGGTGGAGCCGGTGACCCCTCTCTGGATTGCTGGTTTGGTTGGAACCGTTTGGCCATGATGTATTCTTGCACATCTGCCATGATCCTATCGAAAGTCTCTTGGGGTGGTGTGGTTGGGTACAGTGCCATCCTGCTCCTAAACTCTTTCTGAAATTCTCTGTGCTCTTCCTCCATTGGAGGTGCTGCAGCAGCCGCTGCTCTGTCTCCTTCCATGAGCTCAGCAACAAGGGTAGCCTTTGTCTTGTTGCTGGCTATTGTTCCCCCATAATACACATAATATTAACAGACTATACAGGTGGCTTAAATATACGGTTTACGTCTATAAGTGGCTAGATTTGCCACAGTAGGGCATCGGGATTCTCAGATGCCGTGGCAGCCACCTCTTCCTCTCGACCTTTATACTCTTTGAACATGTTGATATGAAATGTCCGTTTCACATCCTCATTCTTGCAGCTGGCTACAGTGTACGTGGTAACACACCTGCCCAATAACTTTATACGGCCACTGCCAGGGTGCCTGTAGCTTATCTAGCCTGACTGGTTTGAGTACTACACTGCGTGGCCTTCCAGTCATACCATACCCGCTGGCACTGCTGGGCCGCCTGGAGGTTTTCTCGCACTGTCTGAGCCAAGGTCTCCATTTGGTCCCTCAACTCCAGCACATAGTGTACAATCGGGGTCCCTATGGAGTCTGTTGCTCCCTCCCAGTGCTCTTGTTTAAGGTCTAGGGGTCCCCTCACTCGCCTCCTGTATGGCAGCTCAAAGGGTAAAAATGCAGTAGATTCCTGCAGCACTTCCCTGTAAGCAAAGTGGAGGTGGGGCAGGAAATGCTCCCAGTCTCTGCAAGCAGCCATGAATGTCTTCAGCAGTTGCTTAAGAGTCCCATTAAACCGCTCACAAAGACAGTTAGTCTGGGGTTGATACTCTTTGGCACACATCGCAGGTTCGGCAATATTGTCGGACATCATTGGATACCCCAGGCCAGAAAAGTTTTGGGTTACCAGGTATGATGTCCGTCGAATTCCCAAATTTCCAGCTAGAGGCACGTTGTGCCGACCCTCAACAACTCCGGTCGGTACTTCTATGGGACTACTAGCTGGAGTTTTTGCGTACGCCCTGGAGTGTTCACCCAGGAGTGAGTAACCCAGTAAAACCTGCTACCTTGCCACACAAACTGTTCCCCCCCCAATCCCCCTTGATCCTTTTTCAAAGTGGGGTCTCCCGCTACCTCATTCCCAAAATCTTTAGGGGTAGGTACTATCGTTAGTGTTGGGTATAAATGCTGAAGTCAGAGGCCCCAAATCGTTGCCGAGTAGGTCTTTCAGGACCCAGACATTTACAGCTCCCACACCCCATTCCAAGTGGACCTGGGCAGTAGGAATCCTGTAAATCGCTTTCCCGGCCACCCGAACTGCTACAACTTTCCGGGACGCTCGTTATTGCTGAGCAGGTGTCTTTGTACCAAAGTGATGGTGGCTCGGAGGCCCAGAGCAGTTTAAATTAACCATTACCAACTGGCGATGATATTGCCGGTTACCTGTGCTGGCCGGCCTCATGGAGGAACCCCAGTGGTTCTTGCCGACTCGGCTCTCTGGCTTCCCAGGTGGTAGGTACGGGGTAGTCCACACAGTGTGCAGCTGCCCGTGTGTTGGAGATTCCTGGCTGTGTTTAGTTGGATCTGGGGGTGTCCAGGGGACAGTCCCTGCGGTAGTGCCCCACTTGCTTGCATCTGTAGCAGCGGAGACCGGTCACCTGTGGGGGTCTATACTCCACTGGAATGGGTTGTAGAGAGGGGTGATAGCTCCCCACTTGGTGCTGGGGGATCGATTCGGGGAGGTTGCACTCTGGGGTGAGACCGCTCAAGCTTGCGAGCATCCGTATACTCATCCGCATTCTTGCTGCATCGGGGAGGGTAAGGGGTCCATGGCCTCTCACCCAGTCTTCGAGATCAGGTTGTAGTAGGTTGAAGAACTGCTGCAGTAACATCAACTGCAGCAACTCTTCTAAAGTGGTAGCCTGACAGCCATTAATCCAGTAGGTGGCTGCTTTGTGCAGCCAGCAAGCCTATTCAGTGTAGGAGTCTGTATCAGTTTTCCTTGGGTCTCGAAATTTTTCGCCGGTACGCTTGGGGGTTACCGCGTACCCCCTACTTTCGCTTACCTAACCCCCATCTGTGTGGTCCCAGGTTGGTATCATTTAACAACCGACCACCCCTGGCTGTTAACCTTAAAATTGCTTGTTAAAGAAAGTGTTTCCCCTGTGTGGCCATTTTGTCTCTCGAACATGGGCAGCGGTACATGGTCGTTGACGACCTGGAACTAATTTCGGCTAGTCTACTCCGCGAACAGCCGGTAAACTGATACCGCTGCCCATTCAACTTCCCGAACCAGTAGGAGAACGGCATTCGGGAGACCTAAACTACCGAACAGAGGGAACATTTGTATGCTTGCAGCCAGGGAGAGCCTTCATCAGCATTCGTGCAAGAACTCCCGAAAGAAGACCGGTCGAATTTCTCTGGAACTGCTTTGGGGGCTTCACCTCAAAACTTCACTCGAATGGCATTCCTAAACCACCGAACAAATATGAGTGATATTTTGGTAAAGTGGGCGCTCAGATCCCAGCTATTTGGTGAAGTAACTTTCGTGGGGTTCTGAAATATTAAAATGTGTTTTATGCTGTTTATAAATATTGGATATTTTCTGTACCTGAGAGATAATTTAAAGAGTTGTTCTTACTCAATTCTCTCCCAGGCACAGGAGGAGCCTATGAACTGTTTACTTGTCCCTTGTCCCCTCTCAGGTCCATCGGGGAAACCCGTGGAATATGATTTAAGAAACCCCTTGCATGGGGAGTTGCATAAAAGCTGGCTGTGGCTGAATAAAAATCAGTTGACTCCCAGAACTGTGTATCGTCCAGTTACTGGGGGGATTTTGTCTTGTATATTGGATTGCTTCCTCGCCTACAATGATTAAACAGCAGAGATATTTTTGTGGAATATTGGACCTCCGCTACAAGCTCCTTTAAGGTGCTGCGCTTAAGCTGCATGTACCAGCCTTCCATCCACAGTACGCCAGTGCCACTCTCGGATTATAAATCCAGGAAAAAGGGACCATCCCACCGCTGCCACCAAATGTGGATGCCCTTTTCCCAATAACCGAACATTAAATAATACCAAGGGTAAAATATTGCTGATGTCCCATAACCCCCCACACATGAGCCAAGGCTTAATGCTGGTAGAAGACTGGTTTATTCAGGGCCACACACTGCCTTTTATGCAAAGCCCTAACACGGGGTTTCTAACACAGAAAAACAGGGAAATCCCTTCCTCCCTTGATCCTCTGTGCTTGAGAGATAATTATCGGAAGCTATCTGGGGATATGTAGAATGTATATGTTTTATGTAATAAATGTAACTGTATGTAATTTTATGTCTTTTACTGAAAATGTGTGTAATGGAGTTTTGCCTCTGTCCTTGGAGATAATTAGATTACTTCCCAATTATCTCCAGGACAGAGAGGAGGGATTGTGATGCATTGTGGGATGGTTGAAATGTGTAAGTCTGTGATTGGTTCTTGTACCCTTTGTGTCCCAGTCTCCCATTTGGTCCCCTAGGGGAGTGTCCACCAGGTGGGAGACCTGCATAAAAGCCGGGCAGTTAGCCCCAGTAAATCAGTTCCTGCTTAACCCTCAAAGTGAAGTGTCGTCTCGTTATTGGGGGAGGATTTACTGTATGCTGTTAGAGACTGATTGCCAGGAGTGTAAGCTGCTTGGGGGCTTTTCCTGTTCGTCTGCTAACAGCTATTCGTGTGTCTCCAGTTCGGGAGTTTGGAGTGCTACTTGGTATGCAGTTCGGGAGTTTCGAGTATTCCCTTGGTTGCATTTTGGGAGTTGGTGAATTCGTGGGTTTGCAGTTCGGGAGATTGGTGCTTGCAGTAGCTGTCTGTGCATCTGAAAAAGGGGAATATCGCCTAAACGGTTTTTAACCCCTTGTGGGCGAAAACTGTCCGTTACAGCCTGGATCTGGGTGAACAATATATCCAAAAATCACCCAGATCGGTCTGCCACGAGGTTGAAGCCCAAAATAGTTCTAGGGAAGTTGTGGTAAGAGCCAGTCTCCATTTGTGGGGTTTTCTTATGAAAACCACATAAGGTAAATGAAAGCTGATTTGTGTAGAATGCTCCCTGTGTTCGGTAGTCTGTAACTCCCGAACGCTGTTCGTGTTGTTGTACTGGAACGGGCAGCAGGTTCATGGTGACCGGTGTTCGCGGGAGTGCCTGGCCGAAATGAGTTCCAGGCACTCGACGACCAAGTCCCGCTGCCAGTGTTCGGGAGACAAAATGGCCACCATCCATTGTCCCAACCACATGCGTTCGCATGCACGAAACGGCGGCCACCCAGCGGAGCATGCTATTAATTATTTCCTTTGCTGTTTTTGTACAAGATAAATAACGTTCCACATTCTAATGGGTCTCTGGGGTGGTCTTGGTTCAGAAACCGAACAAAATAAACAAAGCAAAATTAAATACGAATTCGTTATACGAAAGGAGGCGAAAGTGATGGGGTATCTATTTATAAATTAAAGCTTACATAGTGATAAAAGCTTAAAAATATTTGAATCCATAAATTCAAATATCTTTATTATATAAAGGGGTTTTATTCACTTTCACGTCATGCTCCCTTGATAGAGGCAATCATGTTCCCTTGATAGAGGCAATACCACCCTCTTCTCACTACTTCTGACAATATTTTTCTTTTTGGGCGGGGGGGTAGCTTGTTTTAGGTACCATTGTGACTCTATACTGCTAATAGCATTGTTTTGACATTATTGCTAATGTTGTCTGGTATACACTTGGGATACCATACCTAGTGTACTGGACCCAACTAATACAGTAATTATTTTTATCTCTCATGTTGTGCTCCTCATATTAATGACCCTTAACAGAATAATGCCACAAAAGAAAAAATGAAAATGCAATGGCTTACACTATGTAATGTGTGTGTTACAGGCTAACATCCTGATCCTGACCTACCTAAATATTATAGTATGCAGTGATTTACATAAATCCCAGGAAAATCCCCCTTGCAGCGAGATTAGGAAACAGGTTGAGGGATTAAGTAATTGCCGATAAAGGAGATGCTACCACATCTCCTAACAAAGACGGTGAATATTGGATCAATACCTTCAAATAAAGACTTAAAGGTACAATTTTTAATAAGAAGAATCATTCCCTCCCCCCCCCCCCACTATAATTAGATCTTGGGTCGCATTGTATGTGAAAGTATAGCACTGTAGGTGTCCACAATCTGTAATGGGGGCCGGCAGATAAAGGCTGTGCAGAGATGTGAATAGTATCTTGCAATTTCAGACAACTCCTTTGTTCTGTGATTCTTCTTGTCTCCCCATGAGTCTGAGCAGGTTCATCACACTGACAGCTACAGATAGAGCAAAGACCCTCGTTCTCTTCATTCCAAAACTGAAGACAAAAAAAAATAGAGGGAAAAATACTCTTTACACATGGATCTCTTTGTCTGACTAATAAAGGCCCCAGCTTAGCACAAGGTAGCGAGCGCAGTATCCACAACCACTTTTCATCCCTTTTAACACTAGATGTGCTGACAGAACATGTAATTTGTACCAAGTGGACAGGGAGTGGAGGGGATAGCCAGCACAGAATGGGTTACAGTACACACAACCATCATAAAGGACAATCATTCTCTGTTTCATTGACAACTACTAGTTTTGACTTATTATAGAGGGAAGGATCTCCTATCACTTTTATGAAATATTTAGTGTAAAGCTACCTCACAGATACATGCCTCCTATTTATTGTAAAACAAGGAAATTTAAAGTCCAAAGCAATGGTTTTATAGGGCAATAAAATGGCATTCGTCTGTGGGTCAGGACTGCCGACACATTCAATAATAAGTAAGCTAATGTCATGGTTGGCAGGTCAATAATAATAAAAGGACACGCTAAGCACCAACACAACTTTAGCTTAATGAAGCAGTTTTGGTGTATAGATCAAGCCCCTGCAGTCTCACTGCCCAATTCACTGCCATTTAGGAGTTAAATCACTTTGTTTACACAGCCTTAGCCACACATCCCTGCATGTGACTTACACAGTTTTCCTAAACACTTCATGTAAAGAGTTATCTAATGGTTACACTTCCTTTATTGCACAGTCTGTGTTTAATTTAGAATTTCTTATATCCTGCTCTTTTAATAGCTTGCTAGACGCTGCAGGAGCCTCCTGTCTGTGTGATTAAAGTTCAATTTACAGAGCAGGAGATAAAAACCTTTAAATGGACTCTGTAGGCACCCAGACCACGTCAGCTAACTGAAGTGGTCTGGGTGCTGTGTCCCTTTTGTTTTGAATATTTTTATTGTATACACAATATATATTAACCCCTTAAGGACACATGACGGAAATATTCCGTCATGATTCCCTTTTATTCCAAAGGTTGTGTCCTTAAGGGGTTAATGCATCAAACTGATTTGTAATAAAGCAAGTGATTGCCCACGCAGGGGCTTAAGCATTGGTTTAACACTGTATATACATTTGGTTGCCTGCGTAGAGGCGGATTTGTCGTAACCTGTTTTTTTTTTCCCCACAGTTGGTTGCTTTGTGTTTTGCACTCTTATGTACTGTGTTGTCTTTTTAGTTCGGTGAGAGCGTTAAGTAAGTGTTTTGTGTTAACTGGTGTGTGCAAGTGCTGCGTGTTTGCTAGTTAGTAAATGCAAGCTGTCGCCTGTGCGGAGGCAAATTAACCATCTTGCTAATTAGAGTCAGACAGAAAGCAATAATACAAAATACAAAAACTTTCCCAACTTTTAACATATGGGGCATATTTGTTTGTAGTCTGCAGTGCGTTAATATATAACAAAGCTATCTGGATATCAGGTTTACAGTAATAAGCTGCAGTCAGCTATTTAGTATGTATTAGTGGACATTATCAACCTTTGGTCCCTATGGGCATTATAGCATAAACTGTACATTCCTTTGGCATTTTAAACCTGCGAAATAGGTAAAAGCTTAAAAAATGAATGCAACTTTTAAGACACAAATGCGAGCTATCAATCCACAGGGTGGCTCTGAATGCGTCAATCTGAAATAAACTGTAGCTAGTCATGCAATATACGTAATGAAGTATATAGGCAAACAAAATCATTAATAGGGACTGTAACCATATGGAAGCAAGGTTGGCAGGAACTTGAGAGGGGGCTGTATGACAGTCTGAGGGAGGCTCAACATGTCTCAGCTACGATGCAGTCCTCAGGTCACGGAACCTCCGTCCGTTCACCCCACACCACCCCCCGCCCACCAGACGGGTCCTCCGCGGCGCCGTGGGCACTCAGGGGCAGAGATTGTCCACTGGACCCCACCACAAAGTCCACGACTCTCCCGCCCCCTGCACCTCCCCGGTACCTCGTTGTTCCCTATGGAGCAAGCACCCCCATGTCTCTCCCAGTGCCGGCCTCACACTTAAAGCTGGTACCCAGCCCCCCCGGCCACCGGTCCGCCGGCAGGGCAGCGCACTCCCGCCCCACAGTGCTCACGGCACCAGGGACATAATTCTCCGGGGACCTCCATACCCAGAGACTGGGGTACTCACTGCTCCAGTCGGCTTGTGGGCGGCGTGTAGGCCCCGCCCAGCGCTCAGTATCGCCTGGGCCTGCATGAGCCGACCATGCCCGTCCCCCTTATTACATTTTTCCGTGGTCCTCTGGGTGTGTTGAGCCGTGTTGGAGCAGTTCCATAAGAATGCAGGTGGTCCTTCTCATATCAGTTCCTGGTCTGTCTCGCCAAGGCTGACGGAGGACCATCTTTCAGGGAGTGAGCAGCCTCCGTTTATTCGGGGTCTGTGTGTCTCCGCACTCGAGCTTTCCTCTCCCTCCGTGTTAATGACATTTTCTGCTGGCTTGCTGCTTCACATGCAGCTTTTGCCAGTGTAGGCGGCCAGCGCACACCCCACGCAGGAATTCCCACCGTGGCATAGGTCACCGCCATGCGGCCGGGATAACCCCCACCGGCCGGGGGGGGGGGGCAGGGCCGTGCCCCGGGCCGGGTGTGCAAAGGGAACCATCTGTGCGGCATCTCTCCCGCTTAAATGTTTCGGGGCTGCGCCTCTCTGTAGAGTCCCGCCGCGTGTCGTTGTCTCGGCCGGATGCTCTGCCGCGTGTAGGCCTGGCTCGCCCTCCATTGCCCGTCCAGCTTGTGGTGTGCTTCTTGCCGGCATCCGAGGTGCGCTGGGGTCGTTCCCTGTTAGTTGTTGTCGGGATAGCCGACTTCTTAGCAGTTTTTTGTGCCTTTTTGCTCAGGTTAATAATAGAGCCCATGCATAATGCGTCTGTTCGGCCCGGCGGCCCGGCCCAGCCCCCCCGTGTCCCTTTTGCACTAAGTGCTGCAATGTAAAACATTGCACCTCTAAGTCTGCCCTCTGTGGCTTTCCGGAATCAAAACCGACTTTTGGTCGGTTATCTGACGCTGGACGTCCTCACGGAATAATGCTTTCCTATGGGGAGGTCTAATGCGCGTGTAACGGATCACCTGGCACCCTGACTGGGTACCTCCGTTGAACGATGCTCCTAGCACTTCCTGAGGACTCCAAGCACTGCAGCAGACACCATAACCACTGTAGACTCCTCCAGAGAGCAAGGCAGGAACAAGCTCTTACAAGAGCTTATTAGTGATATAGCAAGGGAGTATGACAAGCGTAGCAATCCCTTGTAGCAGATTCCCCCAATAAGAGACAGGACTCAGATTGAGGGTGAAGTAGAACTGCCAGAGCTGTGGGTTTATTGTTCTTATATACACATTAGTACCACCCACAGGGTTTTGTAAAACAACCAATAAACACGTACAATACACTCAGACACGCCCACACAAAATCCTCCTCTCTGTCTGTGATACAATTAACTTACACAATGGTTTAATATAATTATCACAGGCAGGAAAATACACAGTTTTATACAATATTCATAACTTTAAAAGTATGCATCACATTCACATAAAATTTACATTTTCAGAATCAGCATACTCCAAATACAAACATACGTCAAAAATCATACAAATTAGGCCAGTAGGTCAAAAGTTAGGTCGAAGTCCTTTGAGACCAAATGAAGCATGGCTTTTCTGCCCAAAACCAGTTCCACAAAGTCTTTGATCCTGGAGATAATTGGGAAGTAATCCAATTATTTCCAAGGACAGAGGCAAAACTCAATTGAACACATGGCAGCAAAAGACAATAAAATACATAAATATATATAACTGTGCAGCTATTGCATAAAACAGGTACATTCAACATATCCCCAGATAGCTTAGATCTGAGAGCACATTATTACTGAATGGCGCTCAGATCACACACATACAGTTCAATTGCCATGGAGCCAAAGTCTTTCGTTATACGAATGGGCTCCATGGCATAGCTATCTGGGGTATCACTGTTCAAATAGGGCAAGCACCAAATGACCCGGCTTTTGGGTCTTTGCAGGGGAAAATCAAGCATTTCAACATGGGGCCATAGTCACAGGGCAAGAGGCTGGCAATCAGTCTTCTCCAATGCCCAGTGGCGAGGCTGGTGCCGCCACAACGAGTGTGGCCATTTAACCCCTTTAGTGACATGGGATTGGGGGTGGGAGAGAGGGGGCACTTCAGAATGCTCTAGTGCAGGAAAAACAGGTTTGTTTTCCTGGCACTGGAGAATCCCTTTAAATAAAGTTACATCTGATTTGAAAATGAAATCAGTTTTTTTCATGCAGGCTCTGTCAGTCATAGCCAGGGGAGGTGTGGCTAGGGCTGCATAAACAGAAGCTAAGTGATTTAACTCCTAAATGGCAGAGAACTGAGCCGTGAAAGTGCAGGGCCATGACCTATACACAAAAACTGCTTTATTAAGCTAAATTTGATTTGGTGCTTATTGTACCTCTATAAGTAAGCTTTATTGTACAGCGCTACGGAATTTGATGGCACTATACCAGGATGGAAAAGAGGGAGTGATTTATGTAAAAGGGGAGTGCTTATGCTATAGCCACTGTGATTGGCTACTGTGTTACTTTTGTCCCAGTCTTCCATCTGGTCCCCTGGGGGAGTGTCCACCAGGTGGGAGACCTGCATAAATACCGGGCGGGTAGCCCACAGTAAATCAGATCGTTTTACCCCTTCATGAAGTCTCGACTCATGTTTGGGGGATTGGGAGTTATAATCACTTCGTTTCAGCTGGATTTCGGGAGAAGCTGCAAGGATCATCGCTGCACGAATAGAAGGATCCTTTACACTGGTGGCAAGCGGCGGGATTTCCTCCCGAACGGACGTACCGAATTGAAACAAGTGGTGAATGGCGCATAGATACGAACGCTTGAAACGAACTACATTGAAGGAACTGCTGGAAGCTCGAGGCATAGTGGCAAGCAACAAACCGAAAGCCACGTTAATAGCCGAACTACTGGAGAGCGATCAAAGCGGCGAACCACAAATGGCGAATGCAGAGGAAACAGAGTTCCAGGAATGTGAGATGGAGACTCAGCCTGGTAGGACCTAACCCTGCACCAGAGATCGTGGTACAGATCTTGGCACAAGCTACAGAGACCCAGAATGCCAGGGAAGCACGAGAAGCCAGAGACAGATCACCTCCTGTGGATATATTGTCGCTATCTGGATCTACAATGGGGCGTCAGCGGAAAATCAACTACGCTGCATTTAAAAGCTTCGTGGAAGGTGAGATGATATTGATAATTACTTGCAAGATTTTGAGAGACAATGTTTGTTAGAAGATTTGGAAAGAGCTAACTGGGCTGCAGTATTAAGTAGTAAACTATCAGGTAGAGCAGCCGAAGCGTTGAGAGCTGTGCCAGATGGGGATATACAAAACTACGAAAAGATAAAAGATTTTGTTAGCTCGGTACGCTGTAACTCCTGAAGCCCATAGAAGGAAATTCCGGGGCCTCAGGAGGCAAGGCAAGGATTCATATACGGAGTGGGCATTTCGTATGCAACGTGCTGCCAGTAATTGGATGCAGGGGAATCAGGCAACTACCCTGGAGGATGCTGTGCAATTGTTATTACTGGAGCAATTTTTTGATTATACTCCAGCGGAGGTGAGAGACTGGGTCAGAGACAGAAAGCCAAAAACGGTGGAGAAGGCAGCAAGGCTGGCAGACGAATTTCATGAGAGCAGGCGGATGTATGGAAACCGAGGGTTCCAGGGCCAGCGGCCTGCATCTGGCCCGCCAACTATGCCACAGAGGGTACCACCACCAGGGGGCAATACCACAACCCCGGGGTACCAAAAGACCGCTCCAATGTGTTATGGGTGCAAGCAAGTGGGGCACATCAAACCTAATTGCCCACAACGCACTACAGACCGCTGGGGGCGGGCACCGGTACCACCGACCAAAGCAGCCGCACACTGTGTGCAAGAGGATTACAACTCTCTGACTCAAGAGACACCCAGTAACCACAGTGAGAATTGGGCCACCTTACATGAGGTGAACCCTGTACAGGCGGCTGGGGATAACAGAGCGCACCACCGCCAGTTGGTAAAGCTAAATGGATAAGAGGCTCGGGGACTGAGAGACAGCGGGGCCACTATTACCTTGGTCCAACCACACCGGGTCCCCCCGACCCAGCACACAGGATGCACCATTGCTGTAAGGGTGGCCGGAGGGGCAATTCATAAACTACCACCAGCCCGGGTACACATTGATTGGGGTACAGGGGCCAAGGCCGTAGAAGTGGGCATCATGCCAGATTTGCCCGCGGAAGTATTGCTGGGGAATGATTTAGGATGCCTGACGTCCCAATTGGCAGCCTGCAGTCCAGAAGGAGCACTACCTGTTACCACCCGGCAGCAATCCAGAGCTATGGAGGCCTCCCCCTCAACCCATGACCAGGTAAGCGATAACCCTCTGACGATTCCCCCTGACCATACTTCTTACTGGGGTACCCCTCAAGACTTTGAGCAAGCGCAGCGGGAAGATCCCACCTTAAAAGGGTATCGGAGGGAGGCAGAACAACCCCAGGGAGACGGAGATCAGGTAAGGTTTAGCTGGGAAAAGGGTTTACTGTACCGAGTGACTGGGGGGACAGGGAAAGGAGTGGGGCAGGTAGAAAAAAACCAGTTAATAGTGCCCCGTAAGTATCGGGTAGAACTGTTACAGATTAGCCACGATATTCCCCTAGCAGGTCACTTAGGCATTAAAAAGACTAGAGACCGACTCACCCAGTCATTTTTCTGGCCAGGGGTCACTAGAGATTTGCAGGATTATTGTAGGACCTGCGAAGTATGCCAAAAGGTAGGAAAGAGAGGGGATCACCCTAGGGCAAAACTCCCCTACAATTGGGTCCAGAACTAGGTTCCGAGAAACAAGCTCAGGCTTCCCAACTGTTAAAGGAATTTGGGGGCGTGTTTTCAGCAGCCCCAGGATATACGACCCTGGCAGTCTACAGAGTGGAGACCCCAGGCCAGTTACCCCTGCGGCAGCAGCCCTACTGAATCCCTGAGGCAGTGCGGGAAAGCATGTTAAAGGAAATCCAGGACATGTTAGAACTGGGGGTCATAGAACCGTCCCAAAGCCCATGGGCTTACCCAGTAGTCCTGGTTCCTAAGAAAGACGGTACCACCAGGTTCTGCGTGGACTACCGTAAGCTAAACGATCGGACCGTTACCGACGCATACCCCATGCCCAGAGTAGACGAGCTGCTAGACCGTATGGCTGGGGGGAATTATTTGACCACTATTGATTTGTGCAAGGGATATTGGCAAATCCCTTTGGAGCCTGAGGCCATTCCAAAATCGGCATTTGTCACCCCATTTGGCCTATACCAGTTTAAGGTTATGCCATTTGGGATGAAGACGTCCCAGCTACGTTTCAAAGGATGGCAGACCGGCTCCTAGAGGGATTTCAGGGCTTCGCTTGTGCTTACCTGGACGATATAGCTATCTTCAGTGGCACTTGGGAAGCCCACCTGGAGTACATCTCAGTAGTGCTCAACCGAATTCAGAATGCAGGGCTCACCTTGAAGCCTGAGAAATGCCACGTGGGCATGGCTGAAGTCCAATATTTAGTCCACAGAGTAGGGTCAGGAAAACCAGAGCCTGCTAAGATTGAGGCCATCACCCAGTGGCCCCAACCCCAGACGAAAACACAGGTCATGACGTTCTTGGGCACCGCAGGTTATTACAGGAAATTTGTAGTGGAATACAGTGCCCTCGCCAAGCCCTTGACAGACCTCACCAAAAAGTCCCTACCCCGACAAGTAGTCTGGTCCACTGAGTGTGAGGAGGCCTTCCAGAAACTCAAGGCTGCGTTACATGCATCTCCTGTGTTGGCGGCACCTGATCATACTAAAAGGTTTCTCGTTCACACAGATGCCTCAATGTTTGGACTGGGAGCAGTATTGAGCCAGGTGGGAGACGATGGCATGGATCACCCGGTGGCGTATCTGAGCAGAAAACTGTTACCACGCGAAGTCAGCTATGCCACCGTGGAGAAAGAGTGTCTGGCATTAGTTTGGGCACTTAAAAAAACTACAACCCTACTTGTATGGACGCTCTTTCACAGTGCTGACTGACCACAACCCTTTGATTTGGCTTAACAGAGTAGCTGGCGATAACCCCAGATTACTCAGGTGGAGCTTGGCACTGCAACCCTATAATTTTACAATGCAGTATCGCCCCGGGAAGCAGAATGCCAATGCAGATGGCCTGTCGCGGCAAACTGAAGTGGAAAAATAGTTATTTTGTTTGTTTGTTTCTCCTGTGTTACCGGACATCCCTTAGCCGACCCGTTAGGATCTAAGCAGGTATGCCGTTCCATGGGACTAAGGGGGAGCTGTGTAACGAAATCCCTTATTTACAGACCATACGAACAAGCCTGTTCGGTTATTTGGAGGATTACAGCGGGATTTCGTGGAAATAGCAATAAAAGCGAATAAACTACCGAACCACCGACCTCCCACTGAGGTCGTGTGGCGCCTATTGACCACAATGACTGTTGCGGTTAACCACAGACTAATTGGGTAATAGCTGGTGGTCCGCGTTCGTTTACCGAACACGTGGCAATCGCCATTTTGTATTTTCGAACGCTCAGCGGTAAATGGCGAGGATTCCCTGGAACTGATTTCGGCTACTTATTTTGTCGAACACCGCTGCTACCTCTTCACATCCTCGTTCGTACTGTGGAAAAACACGAATGAAGGGGATACTACTTCATTCATGCGCTGAAAGTATGCGAAAGTGACCGACCCCAGATAGCTATAGTATGGAACTTGTAGTCGGCTACAAACACACGAACGGCCGGTGAAAGTCAAACTTCAGTCGACGATTCTGAGAACTGTGTTCGTGGGATCTGAGCACTATTCGCCTAGAATATGCACTCAGATCCAAGTTATCTGGGGATATGTGGGACTTAAAGTTTATGTTGTGTAAAAAGAAAGTTATAGATTTTTATTCTGTTTTGCTGAAATAAGAAAAGCCATGTTTCTTTCTTCCTGGAGATAATTAAGGCTCTCTTTGCTACCTTAAGTTAATTATCTCCAGGATGGAAAAGAGGGAGTGATTTATGGAAAGGGGAGTGCTTATGCTATAGCCACTGTGATTGGCTACTGTGTTACTTTTGTCCCAGTCTTCCATCTGGTCCCCTAGGGGAGTGTCCACCAGGTGGAAGACCTGCATAAATACCGGGCGGGTAGCCACAGTAAATCAGATCGTTTTACCCCTTCATGAAGTCTCGACTCATGTTTGGGGGATTGGGAGTTATAATCACTTCGTTTCAGCTGGATTTCGGGAGAAGCTGCAAGGATCATCGCTGCACGAATAGAAGGATCCTTTACAGGGTTATTATACCGGTATGCAGAGAAGGTAGTAGCCGGGTCTATCCCCATAAAAAAGTTAATTGTGCCTCAAAAGTACAGACAGGAGTTACTGCAAATAGCACACGACATGCCTTTGTAATGTCCTGTATTGTAAGTCCCCTGTAGCGGGGAGGCAGTATAATCCACGATATCTCCGCTGGGTAACAGGAACAACAAAGGATAATCCAGGGAATCAGCATACAATAATCCAAACAGCACTGCAGTAACCCTTCCTTCCCAAGAACTAGACGACATATAGGCTGGGAGTCAACTGAGGTCTTTTAATTCAGCTCCACAATTTATACAAGTCCCCATGCAAGGGGTTTCCTGAGTCCCCTCCCAGGGGCATTCCCAGAGGGGACTACATGGGGGAATTACAATACAGGACATTTCTCCCATCAGGCACTGCTGCACGAGAGGGATCCTCCCACTGGAATATACCATTAAGTGGATTATCCCTCCGTGCAGCAGAACTCACAATTCATATTAAATTCAATAACTTCACGAATATCTGGGTTATTTAAACGAATGGACGTTCGGTAGATAGCTGGGGTCTGAGCGCATCATTCGTGAGATTACCGCTCAGATCCCAGCTAAAACAACCGAACGCCGCACGAAAAACACATTCACTAACACATAGCCTGAAAACACCGATTACAGATAAGGGAATAAAATACCGAATGTCCCGGACCTCCCGAATGGTCTGGAGGTTCAGCGGTGTTCGCGCCGTCGAGTAGCCGTTTTTAGTACCACGCGCTCGACGACCAAACACTGTTGAGGGAACAAAGGATCCAAGATGGCCGACCGCCGCATGGTCGGTAGTCGAACGGCGGCCACCCAGGAGAGCCTCTAATTACCGATTGCAACATTGTTGCAATTGGTTAATAGGCGCCTGAAAGGGTTAATGTTGTAATGGACTCTAATCCCCTCGGTTCTCGATCCCTCGGTCACCATAATCAACGTTGATGGAGAATCATTTGTAAGCAATAACACACGGACAACAGCTTTACAAGACTCTCAAATGAGTGTATTCCAGAGCTGGCTTTTATACATAGTTTGCTTACATTAGCCATGGTATATGCAAATACAGTACAGACTATAAGATTTATTACTTCCTTATATTACGTTATTCTGACAATGGAAAGATAAGCTTTTGCATACGTCTGGAAAAGAATATCCTGAAATCGGAATGGGCAAGACATCCTGAAATTTTAGCATTGTCTTACATCCTATAGAAGAAATACCTTAGTCTGTCACAGTCAGCATATTATGTCGTTATTCAATATCCCTTCAGTCAGCAATAATCATGTTATAAACCTTATAAAAGCATAAAATACATATAAACAAGTTAACTATTTAATATTCTTACATTCCCCTCTTTGAGCAATAAAACAATTGCTCATCTTATCGATAAAATCTTACCAGGACAGAGAAACTTCCACATGGTATTTTCAGGGGTGCTAGTCACTCCCTGCGGGACTTTCATTAATTTCTTCACCTCGATTCCCATGTGGTAATTCCTAAGGCCCAGTTTAAAGATGGGTTGATACCCTCCAGTGGCAGAGAGGAGAATTTCTAATTGTTTCTGTTCTGCATTATGGATTAATTTCTGTACTCTCTTTCTCAATGTACAAGTAAGATGGCAGTTATACAAAATCATACACAATAAAATCAGGACTATAATAAAAAAATGATAGAAGAATGATTTCATTATCTGGGATCCAGTAGGGGACCAACCAGTGAAGCATCGTACCAATGATGGGCTAAATCATTCTGAATTTGTGAACTCACCTTAAGGAGTTCTCCTTTTAGGATATGTGTGGCTACCTGTGTATGTTATCTTTGGGAAAAATATAGTCCCCTGTGTATGTGGGTGCCCACCAGGTTAAATTCTTGGCAAAAAGATCATAAACTGGTACTGGCAATGTGTTAACTTGACAAGCTAATTTAACATCCTTTGATGTATGATATAATGTAAAATAGCAAGAGCATGAAAAATGTGAAACATTACCAGTTAACCATCCATTGCATTTACTGGATTGGGGTTTTAGAAGTAACCAATCATTATCTGTGAGGTTACACATTCCTCTAATCTTCTCTAGTTTAGGAATCATTAGTGTGTTTTCTAATGCCAATCCTTGTTGTTGTATCCATAAATACCTGATGGCACAAGTACTCCAGTTACTTAGACCTGTAGTGAATTTCATAGTTGCAACAGTTAAATTATCTAAATAATTATACATTGATTTATCTAAATCCAATCCTGTAACCTGTGATTTAACAACAATTGGAGCCCAGTTTGCAGTAGCATGGAAACCAGTCCCTATATGCATGCTGGCTGTGTTTAACTTATTCTTGAGGGTCTCCATATCTATAACTATTTAGTATACCCATAGTGGTTCCAGCACCATCTAACAGTGTGTCATACCATTCCCTTTTCTGCCTTTGTTTGTTGTATTACATAATGTTACAACAAGAGTAGTGACTTTTAATGACACATGTACAGCTTGTAAGAAGGCAGTTGTATTAACACATGTGGACGGAATAGGTGTGTGTGTGTCGTGTTTGACTTTTGGTTCTATGATAGTGGATGAAGGACAGTAATAAGGTGTAAAAATATAAGGTAGTGTATAGTTCTCAATTGCAGTGTCGTTCATAATGACTAACATTTGTCCCCTTTTCCAATTAATGATACCAGTTATATAATCATTATTAAAAGTAATAAGGCCTGTCTGTTTACATTGATATGCAACCTTAACTGTGCACATTTCTGCGTTATAAGATCTAACAATTTTCTGTGAACCTTTAAACAAACATAATGCATCGGTTTCATTAGCTGTAGACACATTTCATATGGGTAACTGGTACTTATAAGGGTTACTATTTGTCCAATTCATCCAAATGCGTTCAGTCAATGAATGATTGCATATTACATGCTGATAGAAAGGTGGTGGAGAAGGGTTCTTGAGAGGGCGTGTGTGACGAATGCTAGATGAGGGGCTAAGGCCTAATTGGGCTGGGGGTATTGAAGAATTGTTCATCATGTCAGAGTCTTTTTCCAGAAACAAACAGGTTTCAAACTTGCCATTGACTTGTACTCATAATGGCATTCAAGGAACAATATCAGAGGGAGTATAACAACTCCAGAAAGCATAGCGCACAACATAATCTTGGTCTCAGGTACGTATGATCCTCTCAATCTACGATATGGTGTAAAAGCCATGATGCTTCGCTGAGGAGAAATTCTTCTGTTTCCGAGCGAGGAGTGGTGTTGTCTTCCTTGGTTCCCCTCTTTGGACACAGCTTCACTCGGGATGCGTGAATCCAGATGTCGTGGGAATCTGTGAGGACAGCGGTTCTGGGTACAGCAATCACAGTAGCAGGTGGTCCAAAAGGGTATCCTCCTTTCTTGGTCCTGTTCAGCTGACGGATATACACCTTGTCACCGGGCTGGTATGAATGAGTAGGTTCCTGTGAAGGTAAGGGAAAACTGCGAAGAAACATTGTCATACATACCATTCGGTTTTATCAACAATTCCTGTACATATTGTTCTTGTATTAGCTTTAAATCCCCAGACATTATAACAAGCAGTTCCCTGGCCCAGGGTGTGGGAAAAGGTCATCCCATCAAAATCTCAAATGGAGATAATTTAGTCACCTTGTGGGGATTCATTCTTATCTCAGCTAAAATAGCTGGTAGATATCTAGTCCAATTTACCCATGTTCCTGGGTAAATTCTGGGCTTTTCCTTAATAGTCCTATTCATCCTTTCAACTACCCCTGTATTCTGTGGATGATAGGGTATATGAAACTGCCAGGTAACTTGCAAGAATTTAGCAAGTTCCTGGGCAACCCTACTTGCAAAAACCGGGCCATTATCAGAGCCAATCTGCAGAGGGCAGCAATACCGGGGAATAATTTCAGTAACAATAATCTTCACTAGCATCTTCCCTAGATGTCACAAAGGCCTCATGCCATCTACTAAACTGATCAACTATGACCAGTAAGTATTGCTGTTTCTTACCAATTTTGGATACATGAATAAAATCAATCTGTAAGTGTGTAAAAAGAGCAGCGTTCACACGATCTTACAAAAGACTGTACATGCTGCCTGAGATTCCTAATATAAAATGAATTCATGAGGAATTGAATGGTGCTTGCTATGTGCCTGACTGATGAAAATAAATCAGCTTGCTTCAAGTATGCCTATTCTTCAAGTATGCCTATTCTCCCCTCTTTAGAGAACAGATCATTCTGATCTTTCTCTAAACCTTGTTTAATCCAAAAGACAGATTCTGGGTATTTAAAAAAAGAATCTCATAACCACTGAAGCGCTGGGCTGTCATGTGTTGTGTGGTGATATTTCATCAGCTGAGTGACCTGGTGACTGGCATGAAGTATTGTAGGATGCCCTAGTGTGATAGTAGTAGCAGTTTCAACAGCCATTGCACATGCTATCAATGCTCTGAGACACGCCGGCATACCCTGTACCAGAGCTCGAACTACTTTGGAAAAGAATGCTATGGGACGCATACCGCCTCCTTGCTCTTGTGCACAGACTGCGGCCATGGTTTTACAATTGTCCCAAGCATACAAATGAAATGGTTTACAATACACAGGTAGTCCTAAAGCCTGGGCTTGCACAATAACAACTGTAAGGGCAATATATGCAGCTAGCATGTCTGGTGACCAGCAGACATTTTCAGGGCTGTCAGAACGTACAGCCTCCCTTAGGATTGAGTTATAATGGGAGCATTCAGGGATCCATTGGTGGCAGTAATTAATCATGCCGAGGAAGGTGAGCAACTCCTTCCGAGTAGTGGGTGTTGGAATCCTCTGAATGACCTCAATACGTTTTGGACTCAATTGTCTGGTGCCTAAAGCCAGAACAAAACCTAAGTATTCAACCTTTGATTTACACAATTGCATTTTGTGTTTAACAACCTTGTGACCTACAGTTGCTGACAGTATCCACAGTGCTTGCCTCATAGCTAGGGCTACATAACAACAAATCATCAACATTTTGCAAAAAGGACGGAACCATGACCGGTGGTCCATGTTTTTTTAGAGTATGTTGGAGTACCAACGAATAAACAGCTGGGGAATCCACATAGCCTTGGGTAAGCGTGTCCAGGTAAACTGACAGCCTTCAAAAAGTAAAAACCATAAGTAGCTGTGTCTCTTGATCAATAGGTATAGAAAAAATGCATTACTTAAATCAATGACAGTGAAGCAAGTGGCATCATGTGGAATGGCTGTAATGAGGGATGTCACATCAGGGACAATGGGTGAAATGGGCACAATTAAACTATTCAGGGCTCTAAAGTCCTGAACTAAGCGATATGCTGGCCAGTGGTGTTGGGAGTGGGTCTGGTGTTGTTCTTGCCTACCGGGCATATTTTGAGAAAGGTGGGGTTGTTGGGGTGTGTGGGGTTTCCTGGGGTTTCCTGGGGTGTGGGCACTCATTCCTCCAGTGGCCATATTGGCCACAGTTGAAACAAGTGTTCCTGTCTATTCCTCCTTGGTTACCCCTATAACCCTGATTTCCCTGTCTCCATCCCCTTGCCCCTCTTTGACCACCCCTTCCACTGGCTTTATGTGCTCCATCCCATCCACGCTCTCAGCCTGTGTAGCTGGACATAATATGTTGCAATCCCTGAGCATAATAAGCAACCTTACTTTCCTAAATCTTTTCTTAATTCAAAACAACCTGCATTTTCCTTTTCTATAACCTTGGTAAGAAAATCTGAGCTATCCAAATTGGCCCAGTCTGAAATCAATTGTTTCACAAGCAAATAATACTGTGGCAACATATTACCAAGGCATGACTGTATTTTAAAAAGATCTATATCATCTCCAGACATCAAACCTGCCTCATCCTTCCAACACTTGTAAAATTTCTTTACAAAAATCATATTACCAATCTCTTCCTTTGCATCTTGCTTATATGCCAAAGCAGTGAATATAGACTGCTTATTCTTCCATAATCCCAACATTTCAGCTTCCACCTTGTTCTAAATTTTAGCACATCTTACTGAAGTACTAAGCTCATAATCACCAATTCATTTCAAACCATATAACTCATACTCAGCATCCCATGTAATATTAGTCATCTCACAAAACAATATCTTTGTAGAAACACATAATGGGTACCCAGCAGATATGCCAATACAGAAATCACATTTATGGGCACACAACTACACACTCTGTCTCCCTCCTAGGAAACACGGATAGACACAATATAAAAGCAATCTTAAACTAACACCTCCAAATCTCGAACTATTCTTGGCCAAAACGCTAGTATTCAACAACTAATAAAACAGTTATTTGCTAGGTTATTTGGCTGTCATTCTTATCAGTATCACTAGACTGTGACAAACTGATTCACATATAATTTAAAACAATACAGCAACATAAATTAAACCACTTTCAAGTTAAACTGCACACTTATCACACATTATCACAATCACCATTTACACAAAATAAACAGTTAACAGCTGTATTCAGAACATATTATTGGAAGGTATACCAATTTTAGTTTAGATTTATTTTAGGGATTCTTATGTATACATTTTCTTAATTAACTTCATTACTTTAATCTACTATAGTATTGTATTTAAAGAAAGGATCCATTTATATAGCGCGCTCATAACTCAACTATTTGTATAAAACTACCATTAACTAATCTGAGATGATGCTGCATCAACTTAAATCCTATAGAAATTGAACAAACATCTGGACCAGATTAAACAGACATGGTTTCACCTGAATCTTTCAGAACTCTCAGAGACTTAAAAAATTTATACTATACCATGTTTTAAAGGCATGGCAAACCTTTAGACCGGTCAGTCTCCAAGAGCCCTTAGTAACACAGGTAAAAAACCTTTGTCCATGATTTCTGATCCAGGCTATATACCACAATTTAAAAGAACACATAATGTGAGACATAGAAGACACAAGCAGTAGTTATTACACTGGATCATTTAAAAGGAACCTGTTGCAATAAAAAGGTTAGTTTACAGTGCAAAATAAAGCATGTGTTGGACCGCTGAAAATGTAAATGTTGCTCTGTTATTTTCAAACATAAAATTATATTTACAGTATGGATCCTCTGCAACAAACACACAGGGCAGGGAAGATGTGCTGATTGGTGTTTCTATACAATTAATCCCATATGGGGAATTAACTTTAAAATACTAATGAAGTGACTTTTTGTCTCAGTTATAAAATATACTGAGCTCATCATGCAAACAATGCAACACATTTACACTATCCCACTCTCATAATAAGTGTAGTGGGCTTATGGTATTTTTAAAGCAGCAATCATACCAGGCACATAGATCCCATGTGAAATAACTTACAATAAAACAGAGTAATAAACTTATACTTCTATGCGACAGAAAGAATAAAGCAAAAAGATTTAAGTAGGTCTATCAGGTACAACCTGCGAGTCATTTCTTTTCTAATATACAGTACTGCTATCTTGCAGAAAGATAAGTCCTGCGCTCACTCCCATCACTACTGGACAGCAGCAAGGACTACAGTACACATCAGCCCCAATATATGGTAAAAACCAAAGAAAAACAAGTTACCTGCGTTCTCTCCTTAATCCCTATGTATTTTTAAAACCTCCATTTGTTTAAAAGTACTGCTATCTTATATATACACATATACATATACACACACATATATACATACATATACACATATATACATACACACACATATACATACATATATTGGTCACTCAGGACATGAACTCACATTTCCCATACTGCTGACTCAGAGTGGGGACACTACTAACTTACCAAAGTGTGTCCCCAATATAGACAAACAATCACCCACAAAAAACACTTAAGACAAACAAAGGTGACCGGGAGAAAGAGAAGTTTGGGTTATACTTATAGATCTACAAACCGTGCTGCTCAGAACACCTATAGACTTAATAAACCGGAGACCTCTTATGGTCTCAAAAACCTGTATCTACCTGAGATACCCTGTATCTATCTTAGATACTAACCTGGGTTACCAAAACCCTATATATATTTAGACCAAATGTCTAATAAACCGGAGACCTCTTATAGTCTCAATATAACTAGAGTCCTTACACCTTTCCTATCTACTGGATACAGTCTTACTGAACCAAACGGGGGTCATAGACAATCAGCGTCAATAAGACACAAAAAGGCTACTCACCGCAAATGGTTTTGCTGATCCAACTTCTATCCCACTTCTAGACACCAAGCTGAAAGGGTTAATGTTGTAATGGACTCTAATCCCCTCGGTTCTCGATCCCTCGGTCACCATAATCAACGTTGATGGAGAATCATTTGTAAGCAATAACACACGGACAACAGCTTTACAAGACTCTCAAATGAGTGTATTCCAGAGCTGGCTTTTATACATAGTTTGCTTACATTAGCCATGGTATATGCAAATACAGTACAGACTATAAGATTTATTACTTCCTTGTATTACGTTATTCTGACAATGGAAAGATAAGCTTTTGCATACGTCTGGAAAAGAATATCCTTAAAATCGGAATGGGCAAGACATCCTGAAATTTAGCATTGTCTTACATCCTATAGAAGAAATACCTTAGTCTGTCACAGTCAGCATATTGACTTTAAGTATTCAATATCCCTTCAGTCAGCAATAATCATGTTATAAACCTTATAAAAGCATAAAATACATATAAACAAGTTAACTATTTAATATTCTTACAACTAACATGGCTCAGTGCTAAATACAACCCTGCAAGCATGGGAAATTGGTAGAGTCCCAGCTGTCAAAGCATTGTTGGAGTTGCACGACAGATGGGGTTCTACCTTTAGTCCAACCTTGCAATTGGGGGTCCCAATAAAATTCATTCTACTTTAGTACCGCCACTGCGTTGGGATGGATGCCGTGATTGCATACCAGGGAGTGAGGGGCGAGAGCGGCAGGGCACAGGGGGCCCAAGCAAACACTTGCCCAGGGTCCATTCGTTATTAAAGACGGCCCTGTCCACGGCAGTTCGAGGCTTCCTGTTTGTAGAATCCCAGAGAAGCAGAAAGGCAGGGGCAGAGTTAAGAGGTGCTGGAAAGAAGACATTGGGGTTAAACGGTTCGTGGTTGTGCCAGGACAACCTGACATACAATATGTATAAGAAGAAAATGAAATATTTTATTATATAAGTGCACAGTGACC